TGTGTGTGTGTGTGTATGTATGTATGTATGTATATGTATGTAAAAGATAGTTTAGGGGTTGTAGTGTTGACACATGTCATACGTGACAAGGCAGTAAACGCCAACGCGTACAGACCTCAAACATTAAACGCCAACGTGTAGGCCAATGTGTGCAGACACTAAGCATTGATGTTCGTCTTTCGCAATTCTCGCTTCAATAGTAACATGTACAGACGCCCAGCCGTCATATATCCCCAAAGAACATCAAAACACCAAAATGAACATCAACCGGTACAATGCCAAAATGAACATTTAAAATCATTACAAAAAATGAATTTCTTCAACCACCAACATCAAATTAAAAAACCCCAAAATAGAATAATATCACTCTTCACATTTCACAAAACAAAAAGATACAATGTAGCCTTTCAAAATCCTATAAAACCAAAACATACACAACCCTTTAACACATGCCCAAGCGTAGCACGGAAGAAAATTAAATCATAAACCAAACTCTCCATTTTCAACCATCGCATCAATAACATTATGACAACGAGCCCTAATAACAAGCCCGTGCGTAGCACGGGGTAGAAAACTAGTTAAATTAGTAAAATATATAATTTGGAAAAATTCTTACATTAGCAAGTCGATCGGGTCTGTTCGGTAGGATTTGACCCATTTTTAGCGGGTCATTTTGGATTTGGTCAACTTCGGGTTTGATCAACAAAATCTTTGTTCAAAATCCAATATTTTCAGGTCGTTTCGAGTCAAAAAGAGGTTGAGTCATTTTTTGTCAGGTCTACATTTATAACTCAGTTTCGTGCTAGAGTATTTATTCGGTTTAGATTTATGTTTTAAAATATTTTCAAGATATCTAATTACCTAAATAATATACTATATAAATTGTATTTGATTATAAATCAAACATCGAACTTGATTCATTGCATAAATGGAGAAAAGAAAAGAGTATTTTCCGTTCTTTTCATACTCCAAAAACTAATGAACTCCAACATAATTAATTAGTTTCATCCGAGAGTATTCGTCCTTTTTATATTAATACAAAAACACTTCATTTGTTTTATCATGGAATAAATTTTTATAACATTATACCTCCTCCGGTTCTAAAACCTTTCCTATTTTGACTTTTTAAGTCAAACAGTGACACACTTTGATCAAAGATTGTGAGAAAAATATATTTAATTATAATATAAATTCAATTTAGTTGGATTCATCTTAGGATATAGTATTGATATATGAAATTTTTATATCATTTATTTATTAAGATTATGTTTAATTTATGGTTAAAGAGTGTCCTTGTTTGACTAAAAAAAGTCAAAACATGAAAGGTTTTTAGGACCGGAGAGAGTATTATCAACCTATTCTTAAAAGCAGGGGAATTATGCCCCATTCTTTTTCCCGCCCATTTGCCAAGCCTTATGAGCCATTGATATTTGCCAATTAGACCTGATCAAAGTGCGGGACGGGCCGGGCCGAGACACTACTTTATGAAAATTTTATAGGCCCGAGCCCGGCCCGGCCCGTATATCGGGCCTAACAATTGAAGCCCAAGCCCAGCCCGCATGGTTACCCGCGGGCTTCGGGCCGGGCCGGGCCGGCCGACAAAAACTTCTAAATAATTTAAAAATATTTTTTTTAAAAAAAGTAACAAGTTAATATATTAGATATTTGATATAAAAACTATTATGAGTAAATGAAAGAAAAATTGATATATAAATATATTTTGTTTGATATTGCTACTATGTATGGAGTACAAAATATTATCTATTGGAATGTCATAATCAATGTGTGATGCGTTGCAAACAATACGGAGTAGTAAAGATGCATTCATTTTATTATAAATATTTATAGTTTATTTTTTCTCTCCATAGAAGTATGTATGTGTGTTTATAATAATTTAAAATAGGTTTGTTCTTTATTATTATTTATTGTTATTTTATTATAATTATATTAAATATAAATATTTAATTTATTCGGGCCGGGCCGGCCCGTGGGCTTGAGCATAAACCCGAGCCCGGCCCTAAAATATTCGGGCCTCCATTTATAAGGCCCAAGCCCGGCACGTACCCTAAAATGTCAAACCCAAGCCCACTATTTTGCGGGCGGGCTTTTGCGGACGGGCCGGATACCCGGGCCCGTGATCGGGTCTATTGCCAATCTATGCATCTACGGCCCATATTTACTGCGGATGAAAAGAAGAAAAAAAGGAAATAAGTATTAAATAAGTACAACAAAAAGGCTTTAAAAGGAATCACATTTATATACAATATTAACATAATTACACAATTTTATATCTAAATTACTAATTAATAATAATTGTAACGGAAAAAAATAATTTATTCCCACGAAAATTATTAATAAATAATTAAGGAATCCCATGATTACAAAAAAGGAATCCCGTGATTACAAGAAAGGTATTTAAGGAATTAAGTGATTACAAAAAAGGGAATCCCGTGCATATATTAAATAAATACACAGCATAAAATTCGTATATTTATTATTGATTTGGAGGAAAAAAAAGGAAAGCTACCAATTATACTTATTTTGCAATAATTCATATATTTATTTCGTTTCCTTTTACGAAAGTGAAATTTGCACTAAATAGGACTAAAACATAATGACTTTTCTAATCTAGGACTTAAACTTTTTTATTCTCTAAATAGGACTTAATAATGTCTTCGTGGAAGGAATAATGCCCAGCAACGATAGACATTACTTGAATAATGACTAAAGAATAATGACCAAAGGTCCTACATTCGGAAATAAAAACATATGGTCCTATTTTGGGAAAGTCATTATGTTTTAGTCCTATTTAGGTAAATTACTCTTTACGAAAATAGGAAAGCTACCCATACGAAAATAGAAAGGGACAGCAGGAGATTTTTTATATTTTGTCTCCTTTTAAATAGGTAATTATTTACGCCTAATTATTACTATTATTATTATAATTACTTGGAATAATTTACGCCTGATTATTTTATCAAAAAGTAATTATTTATGCCTAATTAAATAGGTAATTATATACTTAATCACTCTATTCTTAAAAGAAAATACTTTTAAGAATAATAGAATGATAAATTAAAGGAAATTTCGGATGCATAATTACTTAATTCTGATAAAAAAGCAAGGGACTAATTTCGCAAACAAGATCTACGTTGTTTCCTTTTTAGAATAATTTCACATGCATAATTACTTAATTACTCTATTCTTATTTAGAATGATAAATTAAAGGAAATTTTGCATGCCTAATATATTTCTAAAAAGGAAACAAAATATAAAAAATATTATTTATATAAACTTCTTTTCTAATACCGAACTTTTTTATGAAATTGGAATTGATATAATAAAAAAAATGATTACCATTCAACTAAAAATAATATTTGTCCATAAAAGGTAATAATCACGTTAAGGTGTAAATTTTTTAATCAATGCATTAAATTTATAGTTTCGTAATTTATATAATTTCCAATTAAGAAACAAACCATTTTAATCATACAAACCATTTTGTTAAGAAAATAAGCTTTCAATTTAATTATGTTTCCATTTAGAGATTCGGTGCCAAATATTTTATGAAGAAATTTAAATATATAAGTTTATGCCTTTAAGGAAGGCACAATTAAAAAAATAAAAATAAAAAATAATAAAAGAAATTAAATATAAAAAAATGTCAAAGTAATACATAGAAATGGAGGCACATATGTTAAGTGTTGAATATAGAAATAGTAATTAAATCATAAATTACTTTGTAGCAAGAATAAATTATGTATTACCGTGTAGAAAAAATAATAATACTAATATATCATGCAGTAATATTAATGTATTTAATCATTATTAATTTATTGTCATGAAAGAATAATAATAATAATAATAATAATAATAATAATAATAATAATAATAATAATATACTGTGTAATAATATTATCATACTTAGTTATTATTATCGTGTAATAATTCTAACCAAATAAGCTTTCAATTAAATAATGTTTCCATTTAGAGATCCAGGCCCAAACGTTTTATGGAGATATCGTTTTAAGAGGTGTGCCTTTAATTCATGGAAACATATTGAATAATATATACCTTTATATGTTGAACAATCAACCACTAATTGATAACTTACCCAGAAAAAATTAGATGCATGGAAATAGAAAAATACGATATTTTGAATGACTTACACTTTCTTGAGTTCTTAAATAAGATTCATGCTTTCGGAATAGAAAATCATAAAGAAGTCTTTAAATAAATAATTTTTTAAAAGTTTGATATATAAAAATTATACGAGTAATGTAGTTTATAAAGAAGTCTTTCGTTATTTGTAAAGAAATTAACTTTTGTACCTTAAAATAATAAAATATTTATATTCTACTCCCTCCGTCCCGAAAGAAGTTTCCTTATTGACTTTTTGGGAAATTAAGGGAGGGATATTTTGGTGTTGAATTTCCAAAAATACCCTTGGTGTGATTGATAAAAGTAAGATGTGATAGATAGATTATTAGTAAAAAAGTATGATGTGATAGCTAGGGTATGAAAAAGTAAGGAGCAAAAGTAGTTTTTTAATAGAAAAAGGAAGGAGTTTGTGGGATAAAGAAAAAATGAAAGGGGGAGATGTTTCAGAGACGGAGGGAGTGTTAGATAAGAAATTGTATCCTTCAGAAATGATCTTAATTTAGTAATATAAGTATGACCCGTGCAACGCACGGGAGTGATGCTAGTTGTAGTAATATGCAACATCATTTTAGTTAATTAACAATCAAATTTTTTCCATTTTGACTGAAAAAAATCAAACTAGATAAATACTCCGAGAGTCATGAAGAAATTGGTCATTGGAGAAGATCGATATTGAACAAGGGCAACAAGGTGCGTTGATTCTGCGAGGGTTGTAAGACATTGCAAGGCAGCTTCTATGACTAGGTTCTCTGGAGTCTGGAGGCAGCAGGAAAAGGATTGGGTGTCTCTCAGTGTGACAAAATTTGGAGAAGTGATTTTGGAGTCATGAAACTCATGAATTCCAAGTCTCCAAGAGCATATATATCAGTTCATGCTTCATATTTCTGGTTGTCATTATGTTCAGAATTATTTGCTGAAGAATGACTACATACAATGGGAAGTTGGGAACAAGAAAAAGAAAAGAAAGACTCTTCTCAGTACTATAATTCCTTTCCATCCAAAAGTTCTAAACATACCAATTCATTCACAAGTTTCTAGTTTTGATCCCTCAGAAACATTAGCTGCATTATAAATGACAAAGTTGAATGTAGTGGAAACATGCACTCTATTCTACCACTTGTACGATCGTATTTAAATGTTAATGTGGCATTGCAGACGCTAGAAACTACGGTTAAATGCGTAATGATCCTTCGGAACAAATGAATACTTATTGGGTATTGTACCATAGTATATCATCTGCACTCTTCAAAATTGCTCACTAACTTTCTTTGCCAATGCATCTCTTATGGTAGATGCAAATGCCATCCTTTTAGTGAAAATCTCCTCCACACCATTGTTCTCTTCAAGAGGTGGCTGTGAGCTCTGACAATGAATCCAAGAACACTCGTCGAGCTCATCAAAGAAGGCAGAGAAATCCCCCCTCATAAGCAGCATATTATGTAGTATTGAAGAGGCACCAATATATGCAACTGCCACCTTATCTTCCACCTCAATTGATCTATTCAACACACCCCATTTCCTCAGGCTTGCAATGGCTTTAAGGGCTGATAAGAGCACGATGCGATGAGCACTGTTGAACTTTTCCTCATTCGACCCTGGCGAAGAACTACAAGTGAAAGGTATCATTAGCCATGGAAGCAAAGGGTAGGCTCCTTCTCCTGCAAAGAACTGGGGTATGTCCACGCCATTTATACACACCGGCTGCGAATTCAACAATGCCCCCTTTTCTATATCTTTGTATAGAGTTGAGGATTTTAGGATTTGGGGATCTGTCTTTTGGCCGTGAAAACCAGCTATGATGCTTAGAATTCTTGAAGATGAGTCGACTATGATTTGGGCTGCTATGGTTTCTTCTCCACCTCCCTTCTTTTCACGGTTTCTTCTGATCTTGAACCTGGCGCACTGGATTGCTCCGCAGCAATTGGGAATTCCGGTGAGGGAATAGAACTGAGAAGACACGGACCCAAGCTCGTTTGGGCTTGGGAACCCGACCCAGAATCGGAAATTTGTGCAGAGAACCCGACAGAGCTGCTTGACGCAAAATTGGGATACCGAGATGGGAACACGGAATTGATCGGAGATCTCCCGGAAATCCGCGCCGCTGGCGAGCCGAAAGAGGCCGATACCGAGTCTAGTCCCTGCAGAGAGGTTAAGAGGCGAGTCGACCGGGTCGCGGCATTCCAGCAGCGGCTCTAGCAGACCGCAGAGCCACTCGAAAGTCGAGGAATTCATGTTGAAGAACTGCTTGAAGGAGTCCGGGTTCCGGCGTTTGACCGAGTCTCCTCGGAGGAGTCGAGCGATCGTCGATTCCGGGTCACCCACGTCGGCTGGTTCGACACGCCTGCGTTTTCTGAGGAACGAAAGGAGGGAGAGGGTGGCGGAAATTTCGGAGGTGAATAGAAGATGGAGGAGGAGATCAGGGAAGATGACGTCGCGTGGGTCGGACGTCGGAGCCCCATTTCCGGCGCAATCGTTGAGGGGAAGAGGGTTCGACGTCGGAGGGAAAAGGATGAGAAGCAGAGAGAGGAGATCGGCGATAGAGGAAGAGAGCAGGGCAGCCAAACGTCGGCGGCGCTGCCGTTGAGGATCCATAGGTCGGCCCACCTGTGAATATCTGCACGCGAATCAGACAATCACTCCTTGGTTGACACGAGGAGGACGGTAAATGGATATCTCATTCTAAGTAGTGTCATTACTGTTTGAATGAGGGCAAATTTTATGGTGATTCAAGGTCCATATGAGGAGGCAAATAAGTAAATGGTAATTATATTGATGAGTATTTATTTTAATAAAAATTAAAATATAAAAAATTATTTTTTATGCGAGAAGTGTTGAATAATTTAGTTATTTTAATTAATTTTGATAATTTGAATTAATCTTCATTTGAATTAGTCTTTATTTAAATTACTCCGTAATATTTAGTCTTTAACAACCTCCTACTTTTTAGGTCTGTTAGAGTAGTAATATTGTGGTGTTCATAATCCTATTATTTAGGTTATTTTAGACTATAAATTCAATTTTGAGTTTACTGATTTTGTTTCAAGAAATTCTGAAGCAATAAGGTCTACTTTTCTTCTTCTAGTAAAAGAACTCTGTTGCCTCTTGAACGTGAGTTTTTACTCCTTTGACCAGACCCACCTATTGAAAAATGTGCTTGAAGAACATGTTCAATTGGTTTGTCAACTTTGTCAACCTTACTCTCATTTATTCTTTATTCATGTGCTCGCAAGAAACTTGACAATAACCACACTTTCATTGTCGATGTGTCATTTCCTTCTTCAATCGCTGCAATGATATGCTCAAACCTAGGTGTCAAAGACCGTAAAATCTTCTCTTCCTTTTTCTATTTGGTTTGAGCCTCTCCATTGGACCTCATATTATTTGCCGACGCGAAAACCCATTTGATATAAGCGTCAATAGTTTCTCCATTTGTGGCAGTTCAGATTAGCTCCTCAATGTTTAAAGGTGCACTCTCCTAATCTTGTCATCACCTTGTATGGTGCTGACAGAATGCTCCAAGCTTCATTTGTAGTGTAGTAGTTCCCTCAATCTGCTCAAATGTTTCATTGTTCATTCCTTGGTGAAAGAAATATAGTGCCTTCTGGTCCTTCTTCTTCACGTCACTATGAGCTGCATTTTCAGCCAATTCAGTCATTCCATCATTCACGACATTTGACAGGTCATGATATAGTCCAACAAAACTTTCATTTGGACACTCTAATGGTTTTAATTCTTCCCATCTTTCTCAAGGATTGGGAAATATAGTTGGGTGGTATTCATGATAACAGACCTTTTAGACTTTGATACCAATTTGGAGAACTAACACTTAAGAAGAAATAGGACAAAATACTGAACAATATGGAGGCAATGTAGTGGAAATCACTCTAGCAAAGGTCGTGGTGGTTACAAGAGTGGAGGTGCTGATCATAACAACTCCTGCACAGGCTTCTCTTGTTAGAGACGAGGTGTGGACGTGGTCGTTTCAATTTTCACAAGCGTGGTCATTACGGTAGTGAGTGCAGATCAAAAGGCAAGAATCAGGCTGCCAAGAAGTTGGTAATCACGAGCAAGTTGAAGGGGATCACGAGTTATTAATGGTATCTTCCTCAAATGAAACTCCAAATCACTAAACTTGGTATTTAGACATAGGTTGCACAAAGCATATGTGTGGTTTGAAGAAGTTTTTTGCAGACTTGGATAAATCATTTCACATAAGGGTGAAATTCAGTGATGGACAGTTTGCTCTAGTGATGAAAAGGGACGAATTTTAATCTCTTTGAAGAACAGTGACCACCTGTACATTTCAAATGTCTTTTATGTTCCTGATATGAAGAGTAATCTATTAAGTATGAGACAATTCTCTGAGAAGGGATACATTATGCACATCACTGGAAATCAACTATCTATTTTTGATAAACAAGGCAATTTAATTCTTAAATCCTTTTTATAAAAAAACCATATGTTTCTTGTGGATATAAATGGTGGTGAATTCAAGTGTATGAGTGCTATGGTCAATGATGAGTGTTCGTTATGGCATCTCCAGTTTGGACACTTAAATTTCCAAAGTTTGGAAACTCTTGCCAAAATTAATCTGCTCAAAGGTTTGCCCCATGTAACAACCTGAAATCTGGCTTAGTAGTTAGCCGTTATTTTAATAAAAATAAATATAATATTTTATTATATTTTCTAACTCAAAAATATGAGTTATTTGTAAAGTTGACCATTTTTAGTAAAACTAGATTTTTGGAGAGACCTTGTAAAATGGTGACCAATGGTATGTACTCCGTAGTTTGTTAAGTTTAGGTATTTGTGTAAAGCATGGTGAGTAAAATAAACGCTAGAGATCAATAACTAAATATAAAGATTTTATAATATACTACCTCCGTCCCAAAAAGATTTACACGTTTTGATTAAAGTTGAAATTAAGGGAGGGATAATTTTGTGTTGACTTTCCAAAAATATCCTTGATGTGATGGGTAAAAGTAGGATGCGATGTGTAGATTATTAGGAAAATGATATGATGTGATAGGTAGGGTTTGAAAAAGTAAGGGGTAAAAGTGGTTTTTTAATAGAAATGGGTAGGAAATTGTGGGACACAACTTTTTTGAAAAGTGTAAATCTTTTTGGGACGGAGGGAGTAATACTTTTATTATAATAAAAACCTAAATCCTAACCCTACCACGCACGCACGCACAGAAAAAGCAATTTCCCTTCCCCCTCTATATAAATCACACACGCACGCACAGAAACCAAAAAGAAAAAAAAGAAAAGAAAAAAATATATGGAGTAGATTCCGCTGGGAGAAGAAAGCAGTACGAAGTGCAGAAGGAAACCAGCCGTGGGAGTTTGGTCACTGGAATTTATCATCTAGTCGCCATCCTCATCACCAGAAAATAGCCCTATATCCCCAACTTCTTGTCGATTGAGTCGTTCGTTTGATTTGTTTAATTCGCTGACTAATCGAGGTGAGTACGTGAGCATCTAACGATAGATTACGTAGATAGATTTGACATTCATGTTCGTAGTTTCGTATGATTGATTCAGATCCTTGTCTGCTTTAGCAATCAGATTATAGACTGCCGTAAAATCTACCGTTGGTATGACAGATACTTGTGCTCTGAGATCAGGTTGGAGTTTTGACTTGAACTCCTCAATACGTTCAGTTGTGGTGCTTACCAACGTCAGTGCGAATTTGGCAAGGCTGACAAACGTTTGGCGATATTCGGGGAGCATCATATCCCCTTGTCGCAACTCAAAAAATTCTGTACGTTTCTCTTCACGGAAACGTGGTGGGATATACTCTTTCTTGAAAGTCCAGTCAAAAAATTCCCACGACCTTGGCTTTGGGGTTTCATCACTCTCGTCAGTGTGTTTCCACCACTCGTAGGCTTCCTCACAAAGTAATTGTGTTGCAAGCCTCGGGTGATCGTTAAGAGGCACATTCAGATCTCTCAACACTCGGGTGGTCCGTTCAATCCAATTCCAAGCAATTCGGGGTTCGGCGATTCGATTGCCCAGAAATTCTTTCGCTCTATTGTCTTTTAGAGTTTTGAAAGTGATCACACGCAGCGGCGGCGGCGATGGTGGTGGTTGAAACATTGGAGCGTTGGCCACTTGTTGAAGCAAGTTTTCCAAGAAAACAAGAATTGCATAGTCAGGTTGACCACCAGCATTCGCATTATTCTGAGAAACATTCTGTTGGTTAATAGGCTCGTTTTGGATAGGAGTGAAGCTAGATGCTTCAGTGTGAACACTCACGTGTTTATTGTTGCCTTGCCTATGGGCGGTTTCTTGACTCATTTTACAAATAACATAAATTCCTTTATCAGGATTCCTTATTTGAGTAATTGAGTTCATGACAGAAATTGCAAGGGTTTACAATAATTGATACAATCAAGGAATTTGAACAACAAGATTAATTCTAAGCGTTTTTGTTTGAATAGTTGGATATCCTCGAATCCCTGGAAGGGTCTTCTACACTGGATCCACAGATGCTGTTTGCAGAGTCTATACTGAACGTCTCCTCAGGATCGTCTCGTTCCCACGCAGCCTTGCGGCGCAGGTAAATCTTCCGTTTCATTATTCTCGCGATGCGATGAGCACGTTGATAAAGTATCAGATAGTCATATGCTTTCTGTTTATTCTATTCTCTTACCGAGTACGAATGTCCGACTTGAGTCAACACTTGATATCATTTTAGAGTTACGAGTTGACATCTATAAAAAATTAATACAATCAAATTCAATACTTAAATTTTAATTACCTTCCTGGAGCAGAGGGATGCGAGAGTCGTGGATGTGATTGACATTTTTTTATATAGCCGAAGTATATATATATATATATATATATATATATATATATATATATATATATATATATATATATATATATATAGACACACACACACACATACATATATGTATGTATGTATGTATGTATGTATGTATGTATGCATGCATGTATGTATGTATGCATGTATGCATGTATGTATGTATGTATGTATGTATGTATGTGTGTGTGTGTGTGTGTGTTTGTGTAGAAATAATTGGGCCCTGATGTTTTAGGGCCTTGTATAAATGAACGATGAAGACAAGCCTTAAGCCACCCTCCATGTCTGCCACGTAAGAATTGTGCGGGGAAAACATCTCTTGTTTTGTTTTCCATTTGTTCTGGCAAAAGGAAAGAGTACGTACGTCCGTATGAGATCAAAAGGAGTAAACGACAAATTACACAATCGCTGTCCATTGTTGTCTAGCATTCCCTTACTAGCTCATATGCGTTCGATGAATATTTTTATACTTTTTTTGTTTGTATTTTGTCATTGATAATTTGGTAAAATAAGATATTGTCATTTCTTGTTTTATCAAACTTTTGATGTAGTTTTATAATCAGTAAATTTTATTAGTTATTCTTATACCAATTTTAAATAATATTTTAACACATGTGAGGTTTTGCCTCGTAAATAAGAAATTGTTATCTAATTTAAGATGGAGGGAGTCTGTCATGTCATGATTGCGGTAACGCATGCAAGCTGTTCAAAGAAATGATCAGTTGTACTTTTTTGGAAAATGCGTTGTGCAAATGTGGAATGATTTTAAAAAGGGTTATTTTTTTATAATTCCTCTTGGTCTTAGTTAGTTCCATAAAAAGTACTTTGTTTTAGTTTTGAGTAAAAAAAAATATTAAAAAGGAAACATTTATGGTTAGAAATTAGTTAGAGGATAGAGAATGATTGTTAACTATTCATTCATTTCATTAAAAGAAAATGGATAAAGTAAGGAGTTTTAGTGAGATGAACAATAAAAAGGGTGAATTTTTTTAAGGGATGAATGGAGTATTTAAAATTTTCATCCACTTCTGCAAATATAGTTAAATTAGTCACAAGTTGTGTAATACCCCATATTAAGATAAGAATGAGAAGAGCTCAAAAGGGTTCATAGTAGTACTCATATCAACAAGGTGCATCATCTTTTTGAGAGCTGTCACCTAGAAACTCCAAAGTTAAGTGTGCTTGACCTTGAGCAATTCTAAGATGGGTGACCCCCTAGGAAGTTTCCCTGGGCACGTACGAGTGAGGACAAAGTGTGCGGGAAACACTTGTGTTGGTTTAGGGCCAGTCTACATTCCTATGAGTGGATGCCTACGGCTAGGGTGGGGGTTGGGGTGTTACAAATGGTATCAGAGCAACCCTGCGACCGTGACGGGCCAAAAAGAGCTTAGTTCACCTAGTGGGGAAGATTTAAAGTTTAAAAAAAGATGCAATGAGGACGTTGCATTCCTAAGTGGGGTGAATTTAATACCTGATATTTAGATGGGAATGGAAAGAGCTTAATAAGATTGATAGTATTACTCATACCAACAAGGTGCATCTTCTTTTTGAGAGCTCATCACCTAGAAACTTAAAGTTATGTGTGCTTGACCTGGAGCAATTCTTGGATGGGTGACCCCCTAAGAAGTTTCCTTGGGCACGTACGAGTGAGGACAAAGTGTGCGGGAAAGACTTGTGTTGGTTTCTGGGGCCAGTCTACAATCCTATGATCGGATGCTTCCGGCCAGGATGGGGCCGGGGTGTTACAAGTTGTACTAACACAAAATTTCTATATATATCAAAAAAATAATTATGTAATTATAACAAATGCCCTTACATATTGTGTAAAATGTCCATAACCATCTTGGATGGGTGACCCCCTGGGAAGTTTTCTTAATACCCTGTATTAAAATGGGAAGGGAAAGAGCTCAATAGGATTGATAATATTACTCATACAAACAAGGCGCATCTTCTTTTTGAAAGCTCATCACCTAGAAACTTCAAAGTTATGTGTGCTTGACCTGGAGCAATTCGTGGATGGGTGACCCCCTGGGAAGTTTCCTTGGGCGCGCTCGAGTGAGGATAAAGTGTGCAAGAAAGACTTGTGTTGGTTTTTTGGGCCAGTCTACAATCCTATGACCGGACGCTTACGGCCAGGGTTGGGGCGGGGTGTTACAAGTTGTACTAACGCATAATTTCTAAATATTTCAAAAATAAATAATTATGTAATTATAACAAATGCCCTTACATATTTTGTAAAATGTCCATAACCATAAATATTCATTCAAGCAATGATGATGATGATGGAAATTAATTGGTGGTAGACGTAAAGATAGGCATTGAATGGGCGCTGATAATGGAAATTAATTAATGTTGGATATAAAAACGTTCTAGAATGTAATAAATACTCTTGTATTGGATTCAGTTATTTATGAAATGGTATGTTTAAGCTAAGTATTAATGATCTTTTTTTCATTGATTTTTTTGGTTTGGCAACTATGAATGATGGCTTGAACAAATGACATTATGTTGTTCTTCTAACTTCCGGTAAGATGGTATAGGGTACCGCCACAATGGGGTTTGTGTTGTTCTTCTAACTTCCGGTGGGTAGGGTCCAAGTAGGGGGTACCCCCACAGTGAAAGTTGGGTTGTTCTCCATTATTACGGACAGTAGCTCTGTGAAGGTCACGATATGGGGTACCGTTTGAACCCTTTGAAACTATAGCTAATTTGGCCGGGCAGTACCTAGCTGTTGTACCTAATTGCCTAACAGGAGCTGGGTACCGTTAGCACGGTATAGGGTACCGTTTGGTCTGGTTCCAACCCAAAATTGATTTTATTCCCATTTTTGAAAATGACCCAATCAAAGCAATGTTTAGAAACTTTTCGAAAATGTTTTTTTAAGTGCATCAATTTATCAACCTCTTACATTCTCATATCTAAACTCGAATGAATTATTTCTTGGTGAAATCAACCAAGAGAGGTTCAGGCGTCTCGTTTTAGCCTGCAAAAGTTTAGTACTTGGAAGACTTATTTGGCACATCAAAACGTGGTGAGTTTCAGCATTCAAGGCCAACAATTGGTTGCCATGTGTGCAGCAATTGTCCCGTGGCGGAGGCTATGTGGGTCAAGTCACAATCGAATGTCGAGGGTGCTTGTGTGTTAAATGCACTATAAGGCTAGGGTATGCGCCTCTTCTAACACCAATTGGTTTTAGAAGAGTTGGTAGCGCCTAAGGTCCTTTACGTGGTATCGGAGCTAAGGTCACGAGTTCGATTCCCAGAGGGAGCAATTGCTTAGGGGGAGATTGGTTGCCATGTGTGCAGCAAGTGTCCCGTGGTGGAGGCTATGAGGGTCAAGTCACAACCGAATATCGTGGGCGCTTGTTGCTTAATGCACTATAAGGCTAGGGTATGCGCCTCTTCTAACACCAATTAGTTTTAGAAGAGTTGATAGCGTCTGAGGTCCTTCAGGTTCTTATAAACATCTTTCAGGTATTACTCATCAATAACTATGTCCTTTATAAGGACATTTGGTTTATGGCTAACTGCTCAAAGTTTCGTATGAAATCATGTGCTCTTTTGAAGACCTTGATTGTTTTGGTGTAGGTACAACTCTATTTAACTCTTTTGGGGGTGTCATTTATTGTACACACTCAAGTTTGGCTTTGAATTTTACTCTCTTTATTACCTCATACTTTCTTAATAAATAAAGCTTTGGAACTCTTTATACAAAAAAAAGGGGAGAAGAGGTTCAAAATGGCTTGAGTGTTATTTTTGTTAAAAATTTACAAAAGGGGGAAATTTTAGTTCCATGGTTCTCCTCCTTATGTTTTATTTAGTTGAGTTCTTATAACTCTTGTTGCCATTTTTTTTGACAAACAACTAGATGTTAGAAGTTATATCTAGCCGTTTTGATTTTAGATAGAGTTGTAGCATCCTACCAACATCTTGTTGCTATAGACTATACTGTGCCACTTGTCGTGTCACCATAGGCTATGACTATCTCTACTTGCGTAAGGAGTTTAAGCCGTACTCTCAGAAGTCTAGCTGGCATTTAGTTGTACATTTGGCCTGCGGTTTATGCCAAAAAGGGAGCCCTAAAGTGTTTTGGATAGCTTTCATGAAGATCCCTTCTTCCTTAACAATGGTTCACCGTTTAGAAAGTTTCCAAAACTCTATCTCTCTATTCTTGAGGAACATGAATTGAATGGGTCAAGGATTCTTATTTGAGCTATTATAGGGTTTTCCTTACCCTATATACTATACGCCTCTCTTCATACAAGGTGGTAAGAAAAATTGAAAGAGCCTCATATACATGAGAGAATGCGAGAGGTTGTCAAGAAGTGTTCAATGCTTATATGAAGATTACACCATCATCATATTTTCATGAGGTTTCAAAGCCCGATTTATACTAAGAACATGGAGATGTTATTAAAATATTTGTTCGGTGTATCCAAAAGTTGATCCATGTTGTTCAAGAAATTGGGTTGCAAACACGTCTCTTGAAGAAGATCTTGAAGAAAGTGTAAGTAGCCGAGGAGACATGCGCAAACTGAGTTTGTCGTCATAGTCATTTGCAGGTAGATTAAGTCATACATTAGATCGAATCTATTGTGATTAAAGGTTTAATTTTTATAATGATTTAGTGGAAGTACTATTTCACGGACGTGGGCCCCGTAGATGTAAGAGAGACTCCAAACTGCGTAAACATATTGTTATATCTTTTTTACTTCTTTATTTGTTTTAGTTTTTTAGCGACACAGAAGATGTTACAACATTATACAAGTCATATCTCGATGTATGTGTGTTGTAGCATCTATGTAGCACTTGTGTTTGTTCCATTTTTTGAAGTGCTTTAATTTACAGATTTACTCAAATTGGTGTTTGGTTCCTCTCCCCCCATGAAATTTTAGTAATTATTATTAAGAAATCACCCAGAATAGGATCAAAATATAGAGAAAATATCAAAATATGAGCTCTATGTTTTTAAGTCCAAAATAAGAATTTACGCTATGACAATCTGCCATTTTATGTTGGCATTCTACAATGAGACATGCATATTTTTAGAAGGTGAATGACATTCGAAAAAACTACAAAGTATGAGATATTTTACAAAAACACTATAGTATATTTATAGAATGATGCATTATATTGATTTTAGTGAAGATAACTCTCTAAATAAAAGCAAAAGATAATAAACATATCATTATAAGAATAACACACTTTTTGTGACCAAAATATATAAGAGTTCACAGTGTAACTGCCACACCTCGCTGCCATGGGGTTGTGCCGTTAATCCCCAGATCGCCACTACCAATTGCAGGCTTTGACCAGTAGTCCACCACCTCACATCACCTCACTCTACTGTTATAATGTCACCATTCACACTGTACATTGTCACTACTCTACCAAGCTTCTATTTTGGGAATAGAAATAGTGACACTCATATTTTGGTATTCTTATGAAATTTTAATTTACTCATATCTATGAAAATTTCTTAAATTTGTTTTGCGATACACTCGGTGGTAGATTTGAATTATTTTAGACAGTAGAGATGATAAATGTTACTCCCTCCGTCCTAATATTCACTTCCTGTTTCAGTTTATTATGGCGTTTGACTAATTTTATTTTCAATTCAATTTATTTGGTTTTAGGTGTAAAATTTGAAAATAAAATTTTTATATTTAAAACTACATCAAAAATTCTATAAAATTAAAAATGACAAGACTATATTACTTTATCATATGATTAATGAAACTAAAGAAAGAAAATAAATAAAGTTAAATTATGTGAATAATAAATGAAAAGATAATCTTAAAAGAGATAAGTATATTTTGGCAAATTTTATGCTCTTCCATCCAAAAAAAAACTTAATTTTCACATTTGACAAAGTTAGTATTTAAGTAAGTGTAATTCGGTCCTTTCTTATTTTACTTTTGCCTTGTGGTAAGATAAAATAATACTCCCTCCGTCCCTAAATTAATTACAATTTTTTTCTCTCTTCTCTCGGTAACTTTGTTTGTTTACGCGATTTTATTAATAAGTACTCCGTATTTGATAAAATAAAATATTCTTGTAACCTCTTGTTTTGTAGAACTTTTAACGTAGTTTTTTAATATGTAATTTTTATATCTTATTGATATATCAATTTGTAAATAAAATGATTTTAAAAAGTAGGAAATTTTATTCCGTAACCCCCAATTTGTAATCAAATTGGGGACGGAGGCAATATGATGTGATAGTTGAATTAATAATGAAAAAAATATGATGGTTGAATTAATATGAATATCAAGTTTTACTACATATACTGCGTATAGTATATGTGTACTTTGTTAGGTTATGCAAGAAAAAACCAAAGAATCCTAGATGGAGGGTGGGACCATGAAGTTGGAGATGGGACCCAGCTTCGTGAGTGACGAAATATAGAATACTTGGAATAATTAATTGTAGTGGTAATATAGCCGCTCTTCTGTTTTTTTGTGGTCTTAACCTGCTGTTATTTGTAACGGCAGTTTTGCTCTGTCATGATCCATTTTTTGTATAGTTTAATTAAGATCCTTTCTTGTATGGTACAGCACATCGTATTATCCCTCAATTCCGCTACCAAACTCTACATTTTTTTAATTAAAATCAACATGTTAAAAATTGTTTTTTAATACCCTCTTATAAAAACATTTATATTTCCTCATTTGAATCAAAATAAATTTCTTTTATTTAAAGGAACATAAATTTACCTTTTATAACCATACAAGAAGGACGGGGTTATATTTTCATTTCTTTTCTAAACTAATTCTACATAAATAATTTTTACTACTTCTGTCCCTAACTATTTGTTCAGTTTTAACTTTTTGTAATAAATCATTTTTAACCTTGGATCTACAATTAAATAAAATATATCGTATATTTACTTGATAAAATAATATTATGAAAATATTTTATAAATTAAATTTAATAAAATTATTTTTATATTAATATCTAATATCACTTTTATTTAATTTATGATCATAATCTATCAATTTTGACTAGAAAAATAAAAAACAGATAAATACTCAGAGAGAGAAGTATTATCTTTCATTAGGAATTATATTACTCCATCCGTCCGGAAATATTCTTCTAATTTTTCTTTTTGGTCCGTCCGGAAATATTCTTCTCATTTCCCTTTTTAGTATACTTTTTAAGGCTAAATATCAATAATACCTTTCTATTTTATCACAAATCTACTTTTTTAGTACTCCCTCTGTTCTATAAAAGTGTTCCTATTTTGACTTTGTGTAAAAATAAGGAAGTGTTAAATTGTAGTTGACTTCCAATTTTGTCCTTGATGTGATGGGTAAAAGTAAGATGTGATGGATTGAGTATTAGTGAAAAAGTATGATGTGATAGGTAGGGTATGAAAAAGTAAGGGTAAAAGTGGTTTTTTAATAGAAAGTGGAAGTGTTTTGTTGGAAGTGAAAAAAAATGAAATAGGAAGAGTTTTTGAGAACGGAGGGAGTACTTTTTTAATAATAAAAGAAGATTTAAAAATTTATTGTATGTGCATTTTTGAAAATTTTGCATTTTTTTTACTATTCCTTAATAAGCGTGCCAAGTCAACACGGGAAGAACATTTTCGGACGGAGGGAGTAACTAAACTCAAGAGTAAACCCACTAATTGAGTAAATCTAAATAACCCTATTTTATCATCGACTGTAATTTATTACTCTCGTCATTATATACAATTCCGAGGATTATGAGAAAAATTAAAGCCTTCCATCCCTTCTCTCTCTCTCTCTCTCACTTATAAACTAATCTAGCTAGAGATAACCAGACATGGGAGAAAATGGCTTTCAAGAGTCCCTAGTTTGGGACATTAACCCGGCGGAATGGGCCAGCTCCGGCGGCGGCGATGTAGTGGCGGCCCCACCGGGTCTGATTGACAATGCCATCAAGAGTGAGTCACCGCCGCCGCCGTCTCTACCTGGAGAGGCGGTGGTTGCGGCGGCACCGTCGTCCCCCGGTAGGAAGAGGGCGGGGTCTCCTCCAGCGGGGGATCACGAAGGGCATATATGGACGGAGAGGGAGAGGAGGAAGAGGATGAGGAACATGTTCAGTAATCTTCATGCTTTGCTGCCTCAACTTCCTCCCAAGGTAAATCTGTCTGTCCAAATCTGGTATGTTTCAGGTTTTCCATTGCCAATTTGAGCACTTGGGTATTATACCATCCTATTCTTTTTTTCTTGTTTATTTTTGCGAGTAAAGAGTTCGTATAGTATACGTTACGCCTTCTTTTTCACCCCCATAGCCTTCTCATAAATTTCTGTGTTTTCTTTTTTTAGAGTTTTCCAATTTTTTCTTCCATTATCTCTTTAACAAAGGATTGTATATTTGTATAAGAACTTCTCTCTATTTTTTAGATAAACTAATTACGAGTACATAATTTTGAAACATGTCAAGTCCTTGAATAGATTCAATCTCTCCATAATTTTTGTTCATTTGTATATTTCATGATTTTTTATAAATTTAGATTTTTTATATTTCATGATTTTTTATTTAATAATGATTTTTTAAAATTAAATTACGTATTTAATTTTAATTTTTTTTGAAAGCCACTATGTGTTATTTGGTAAAACTTTTGACATAATTTTTTATATGTATAATTATCATTATTTTATTTGTATAGAATATTTTTAATAAAACAATTTCAGAATACGTGGAAATTTCAATCCAAATTCCTTCCGTGTAATCTATTACCAGATGGACGGAGTATCGACTAATAAAAAGTGTACTTGAAGAATTGATCAATTATATTCATTAAATTTCATAACAAACTTAATTCCTTGGCTTACTTCAATGAATTAAACTTTTCCCCAAGTTTTAGGCTTTTTATAGTTATTTCTTTTTTGATTTAGAGCCAACCTTGAATCATTAATTGTTGTGGAATAACATTGAATGTGTCTAACTATCAAAAAAATTAAAAAATATTGAATGTGTCTAGCTCATCATGGATGAAAAGTTTTGATGCCTAAGATATTTTAAATTTATTGTGTTTAGATCTGATTTATTCTCATTAGTTTTTTTAAGGCATTCTCTTTAATTAGTTAGTGCTTTCTCACTTCTGATGAGTGTGTTAGTCAAGTTTGATTTTTTACAATTAAATTGGACAAAAATTATATAAACCCGGTCACAAACTTGGATACCCGACTTGCCTGCAAAAATCTGTCCACAAAATAGCGGGCTTTATCTTAATACTCCATCCGTCCCAAAAAGATTTACATGTTTCGAAAAAATTGTGTCCCACAATCTCCTTTCCATTTCTATTAAAAAACCACTTTTACCCCTTACTTTTTCAAACCCTACCTATCACATCATACCTTTTTTCTAATAATCTACACATCACATCCTACTTTTACCCATCACATCAAGGGTATTTTTGGAAAGTCAACACAAAATTATTCCTCCCTTAATTTCAACTTTAGTCAAAACGTGTAAATGTTTTTGGGACGGAGGGAGTACTTTAGGGTACGGACCAGGCTCAATCTATAAGAACCTAGGCCCATATACTCGAGGTCCAGGCTCGAGCCTTATGTTCAAGCTTGCGGCCCGGCCCGATCTGAGTGAATAATAAGTATTATTAATATTTTTATTACTATAGTTATAATAAAATAGTAATAATAATAATAATAATAATAATAACCACTACACTAAAAACAAAATAATGATAATAATATTAAAAAAATATCAATACGGAATTGTATCTATTATTACTATATACACACCCATACATACTCCGTATATCTTTGAAGAAAAGAAAGAATTATAAGTATATTTAATCAAAACAATAATTTCCAATAATTACTACAGAGTACAGAGTATTATTTATCGCATCATTTCTATAATTATTATTGTGTATAATTTATCGCATAAATTTCTAGAATTACTACAAAGTACTTCCTCTGTCCCGCAAAACATTTCATGCTTTGACTTTTGGGAGGATAAACTATAAAACTTTGACCAAGACAAAATGATGATAATTGAAACAAGTAGGTTGTTCGAGAAATGTCAAAATAGGTAGGACGTAGAAGATACTTGATGAGGTACGTTCGGTTAAATTTAAGAAAAGTAAGGGCAGTGGCGGCTTTAAGGGTGGTCAGGGTGGTCACTTGGCCAGGGCCCATTTTTGAATGGGGCCCAATTTTTTTGTATATATATACATGTATATTTTTATTTAAATAAAAAATTCTTGATTTATTTTTAAAAATAAAGTCCTAAACCACTAAATCTAATAAACTATGGAGAGGTGATCAACCTATTTGCTCTCAAGAATGATAGAAGAACTTCACGAATCCTTAGTTAGGTATTAAAGTACGGAGTATATAATTACAAATTAAATTTATAAGACTAAGTTTGACATTTCATTATTACTACAATGTTAAATATTATTTAAAGAAATCAATTGATAAATTTTATTTTTTATCACACAATGACGCATCTTCTTCGTGTTGGACAGGGCCCCTAATTCCTTGGAGACGGCCCTGAGTAAGGGCGTTTCTATCCATTTAGATCAAATTGTAATGTTTTATGAACATGTAAGATATATGGAAGTTGAAATTTTTTACGGGACGAATAAATTTCTATGGTTACTACAAATTTTTTCTTAAGAAATGGGTTTCTATTAATGCCTCAAAACAGGGATTCAACACCAGTCATAATTAGGGTTGTAAACGAACCGAATTGAAGCAAATATCATAATATTTGAATTTGTATTTGATTAATTTTTTCGAATACGAATCCGAATACGAATATAAATCGAATTAAAAATAAGATTTGTATTTGTATTTGATTAATATTCGAATAGTTAACGAATCCTAAACGAATATTTGAATAATCATACTCCGTAATTTATATGTCGATTTTGAATAATTTAACTTACAATATTTCTTATACCATATCTAAAAATATTAATACATTTGTGTCTTACACAATTTATATTTTATACTTCCTCCGTCCCATAAAGTGTTACCCATTTTGACTAAAGTAGAAATTAAGGGAGAGATATTTTTGTGTTGACTTTCCAAAAATACCCTTGATGTGATGGGTAAAAGTAGGATGTGATGTGTAGATTATTAGGAAAAAGGTATGATGTGATAGGTAGGGTTTGAAAAAGTAAGGGGTAAAAGTGGTTTTTTAATAGAAATGGGTAGGAGATTGTGGGACACAATTTTTTTGAAAGGTGTAAATCTTTTTGGGACGGAGGGAGTAAAATATAACTATTAAAATTGCACACTTTAAATTTTTGTATTACGTTCATATCATGAAATCCTAGTAATTTAAATAGATCATTACTTATTTGATAAAATAAAATATTCTTGTCACCTCTTGTTTTGAAGATTTTTTTTTCGTAATTTTAAGTTATGTAAACGCTACTCGCGCGGTCCTAGAATGAATTACACTCTTCAGTATTCAAAAATAATGCGATCTTGTGTTTAATTGCGTATTTTCATTGATTATTGTTTGATAAAATAAAATATTTCTATCCTCTCTTGTATTAAGAACCTTTGACCGATATGTAAGTTTTATTATTTAGAGCAATTTACCTAAATAGGACTAAAACATAATGACTTTTCCAATACAGGACCATATGTTTTTATTTCCCAATGCAGGACCTTTGGTCATTATCAAGTAGTCATTATTCAACTAAATGTTCATCATTACTGGACATTATTCCTTCCACAAGGTCATTATTAAGTCCTATTTAGGGAATAAAAAAGTTTAGGTCCTACATTAGTAAAGTCATTATGTTTTAGTCCTATTTAGTGCAAATTTCACTATTATTTATTCATGGAACTTCACGCTTTGTTTTGCATAATATTATAATATTGCAAATATTTTGGGAGAGAGAAAACAATTTCTTTTGTGTGATAAACTGGTTATATATAGGTAGACAAATCGACAATAGTGGATGAGGCTGTGAATCAGATCCAGGAACTTCATGCCACCCTCCACCATCTCCAGAAACTAAAGCAGCAAAGGAAATCATCATTCTCGCCGCCACAAAAATATGCCACTACCACCGCCTCCCAGAGGGACAACCATCAGATGACGAGGGAGGCGTTCTTGGCCGATTACTGCGTCGGTGGCGGCTTTCCCAACAATAATAACAACATTATGGTCCAACAATATTTACCCAATGACAATCATGCGGGGGTGGAGGCAGCAGTTTATTATAAGACCTGGACTTCGCCGAATGTGTCGTTGAATGTGTGCGGAGACGACGCGCACATTAGCGTTTGCTGCCCGGCAAAGCCGGGCCTCCTCACAACCATTTGCTATGTGATGGATAAGTACAAGATCGAGGTGATTTCCGCTCACGTATCTTCTCTCCTTCATCTTCGCAGCATGTTCATGATCCATGCCCGCGTAAGTCATCTCCATTTCCTTATTTACTCATTTTAAAACAATATATCAAACTCATCAGTTAATAATTAACCAAATAAATAAAGCTAATTCAACCAAAGATTGATATTTAGGAAAATTTTTTGGACTTTGGTGGATGCAAGCAGGTGACGGCGGGTGGATATGCGACTCAGTTTCCGGTGGAAGAGATATACAGGCAAGCTGCAGAAGAGATCCTGGTGCTGTGCGGATAATTGACTAACCATATATCTTCCATCCGACAAAAATATGTATTGCCGATTATATATATATATATATGTATACTGCATGTTTAATGTGATTTGACATTTTGAGATTCATTCAAATGGGTAATTTTCCGTTTTGATTCGTGTTTGAATCGATATATATTTTTTGAGTATTTGTTATGCTCAGTTCAGTTCAATGGCATTTAGTTTTTATTGGTTTATATTAGGCTATCTTTGAATCAATCGCATATCGGCAGGACAGGTGATTTTCGGATTGAATTTATATTGAATCAGCCAACTAATTTTGAATCATCAATATGGATATAGACTCTCTTCGTTTAAAAAAATGTCATGTTTTGAACAAAATAATGTGCAGAATTTATCTTTTTTAAAAATACCTATTTTTGAAATTGAAATACAAATAAAAAATATAAATTACTCCCTCCGTCCCACTCTTTTTGTCCACTTTCATTTTTGCACACCATCCAATGCACTTCTTTAATCCATTTTATCTTGTAATTTGTATATTAAAAAATTATAAAAATTATATATTAATAATCTATATGTTAAGACAAATCAAACAAGATCACACATGACTATTTTTAGATTTACACATTGAGAGAATTTGATGAGTCAAAGTGCTTAGATGAACAGTTCCAAAAGTCAAAACTGGACAAAAAGAGTGGAACGGAGGTAGTACATTGATAGTACAAATTAGTTGACCGGGATTTTGATTCTAGGAGGGTTTACAAGACTATTTATAATAATGATAGAGAGATTGTGTCATGTGCGGCCATACCTTAGCCGTGTGCTCGTTTTAGGATATGCCTTTGAGTTAATGGCTCCCTTATCTTGTAGTGTTTGGACTTTACTTCTTGGACCGTAATCTCTCTCAAGTCATATAGTGTCTGGGGTTGTTTCTATATATCTCTACCAAGCAACCTAGTTTGACTAGGTCACCTCCCACTAGTATAGGTCAGTCCAAGCCCAGCACTAAACAATTATGGTCGGGTGGTAATTCTCTTAACTTCAAATACATAATTGTGTAAACCAGAACTTTCAACGACCGCAGATCAAATTTACCCAAGAGCGTTCCAATCATGTTAAATAACTTCTGTGCCCGGTCATGAATGCTATGCCTAGCCATGCTCCTCACCACTTTGACCAATGTCCTATTTTGTTGTTTCTATTGTCCCTACAAATTTGTACCTGACCATTTTGGTTCATAGCAGGCCACATCCAGGCCATGGTCTGGATGTAAAATACATCCATCAATAAGTCATTCACTTCTTTTGAACCTCAACTTTGAATTCCCATATATATCAAATTTAAAATTTCAAAATTTGAAAGTCTGCCACTAATCTGCTGCTTGACTTCATTCCGTCTCCATAGGCCAACTTATCTAGTTGTCATGTCTATTAAGCCTCCCCACAATGCAATGACGATGCATGGAGAGCAATTTGCATGTTATTCCACATATCACTCCTTGGTTCATCTATATTTGCGACTGGGTGCGAGGACTGAGGCCCCCATCTCTATGTAAACCCCTCCTTGCTCTCATTTTCTTCACTTTTACGCAACTTACCTCTTCGAGAAATGTCAGTTGATTTCAGCACCTTTAGTCTTCTGAATCCCTTCAGGCTTTCAAGCCATTTTTTTCAATTATAGCAAATATTATTCTGTCTATTCTTTTATGTTTAGTCAATCTCTCACACCTTCATCCCCTTCCTCTTCTTCTTTCGGATTTACACATAATCTTGGTGTCATGGCCATCTTAAATCTGGAACCCCTAAACCAGGTCTTGAGACTTTTAATCCAAATGTTGAGACCCGAGAGGACAGAAAGGTTTGCTCGCTTAAGAATGTCTCTCCCCCAAACTACATAAGGACGACCCTCACTTCTGTCTCAAAAACTGCCCTTAACTAAGGTCTGGGTATGCTCCCTATGGTTTACATCCTCCACTACGACCCCAAGTGGCCTATATTATCAGGCGCCCACCCGGGTACCCACGTGGGTTTCCACATCGAGTCTTTGGAAGGGGAGATTATGTTCGCTTTGCACCCCTTCTAGGTGATCGTTGCAACGCCTTCTCCCTTCTTCCTGGAAATTGACTTGTGATGCACATCTGTTAAATATATTCTATATTTAATGCAAATATATTGTTTCCTATTATTGACTCCTACCTTGTATAAGAATAGGAATCTCATGTCTATATAAACACATGTACTCCCACATATTCTTTCAATGAAAATAATCTTTCTACATGGTATCAGAGCCTAAAAACACAAAACCCTAATCCCCCTCTTCTCCTCTTCTTCCTCTCGGCCTAGTCACGCCGCCGCCCTCCTCCTTGCGCCGCCTCCTCCTGCGGCAGCCAAACCAGCGGCGAACTCGGACTCCCACACAACCGGCAACCTCCTTCTCCTCTTTCTCTTACCATGGCCGAAGTAAGCGAGGTCACCTTTCAAAATCTCTCCTCTAAACCCCCACATCTTGCTTTAACAACTGTCTCCAACGTGAAACTTCACGTTCCTGTTCAACTCAGCCTCTCTCAACCTAATTACAAGAAGTGGAGTCGTCTGTTCCTCCTCTTAGTCAGGCGATTCAATCTTCAGGGCTACATCGACGGTTCTGTTGTCCCCCTCTCCGACGACGACGACAAATGGTTCCAACTCGACGCTCTCCTCCAGGGTTGGATTCTCTCTACCATCACCGATGAAGTCTCAGATCTGGTAATCTCCTCTGTTTCTACTGCCTCTGCTCTTTGGAACGTCGTTTACAACTTGTTCCACGACAACAAACATGCCAGGGCCATGCAGCTGGAGCATGAATTCCGTACAACCGTCAAAGGCAACTCCACCATGGTGGCCTATTGCCAACAATTGCAGAATCTGGCCGACTGGCTGGACGATGTTGATGCACCAGTCTCCCAGCACCAACTTGTTCTCCAAATGCTTCGTGGTCTCCCTGCAGATCTTCATGCACAAACATCTTTCATGCAATTCCAGGATCCCATGCCAACTTTTCTGCAGGCCCGTTCTGCTCTCATGCTTTTGGATCGCCAACGGACGAGTCCCACCGACTTAGGCACCACGGCCCTTCTCACGAACCGTGTTGGCGGCGGCTACCACGGCGGTACTCCCGGCGGCTATGGCGGACAGCATGGCGGCACGGGCTATGGTGACGACAACTCCGGTCATCGTGGAGGCTACGGACGAGGCCAAGGCCGTGGCGGTGGAAATCGGGGGCGAGGTTGCGGACGCCAAAACAGCTCACGATCGCGGCAATCCTACGACGGCAATAATACCTGGAACTCACCAAACCCTAACCCTAACCCGGGCCTCCTAGGTCCCTGCCCCAACCACCCCAATCCCGCCCATGCCTACTACACCC